TTTTATTATATTTTCAATTTCACTCATTGTAATTGGGGTGTTTAGAATTTCTATATCTTCTTCATTTAACTTTGGCAATTCATATGTATCTAGGAATCTGTCCATTTCTTCTGTGTTTTCCATTTTATTAGAGTACAGGTTCTCGAAGTATACATTTATTTACATTTATCATTGGGTACTTGTAACTGTACACGATGTATCTTGGTTCTTATTTTTTCCCCATTACCTATGCACCTTTCACCCCCTCCACCCTTCCCTATTTACAAAGACTTTGTTTCCATTTTCTCCTTACATTCCCCATTTTTCTTCAGAAGCTGCTCCAAGTTTTGGCTTTGTGTGTTGTTGGTTTCACCAGAATCACACAGTCCCTGTGTTACTGCACCCACATCTGGAAGCTCATCCCATGGCAGAACCAGTGTCTGAGAGAGGAATGTTAGGGAGGAAGAAAGATTTTATTCAGTGGCCAATTAATGGAGAAGAGGGAGCTTTGATGGTAAATCAACTTCTGAATGGCATGAGAGGCAGAGAGTCACAGATAGATAAAGACCAGAAATAATGAGGAAAAAACATGGGTAAATATTCTCTTTCTGAACATATATAGAGACGCTTTAGGAACTCATGTGCACGCACTTTTTCTTATTTTGTATTCTGATGTTTCTAGGTGGCTGCTAGATGTCCTCAGCCTGAAGAAGAAATCAGGCTAAGAAAGCCTTGTGTAATTAACCCTGGATTTTAATTCAGGACAAAATGTTTCCCAAATGATCAACTTGTCTATATGTAGTCCTGAGTTGAATCTAAGCCAAAGGATAAATCAGTAAAAGAAACAGACTCAGTATCAGGGCAGAGATGTCAAGCAGTTTTGTCTTGTTTCAGTAAACCACTGAATATCTGTAGGCTTAGAGAAAAAGCCAGTACTTACAATACAAGAAGTCTGCAAGTCCCTCACAAGTAACCTGGGCAACCACTGTTTTCTTAACCCATGCAGTAGAGGTGTTATCTGCAGGGAAGCCAGTGGGAAGCTGACACTGCATCCCCCACCTCTGTGACTCAATCAAGTTACTGGTTTTTCTATCAACAAAGAACAACCAAAGCTTCGGGTTTGTTTAGGTTTATCCTTGATAACAAATGTTAGCTGCAAGTCAACCCAGGTGCCAGGTATGTACCTGTATGTCTCCTGCCCACTACAAGAGGCAGTGAAGGAGGATGGAGTGGAATGTCGCCTTTTATGTCTGGTATCTGGGTCCATAGGACCCACTGTGCAGTTGAGATAAGGACGGAGGGCAAATGTCAGCACCTGGAGGTGGATCTGCACAGGAATGGCCAGAGCTGCTGTTGCCTAGAGGAGAAAGGGCCAGTGGGGAGCCATCGCCATCTTGAGGTCAGAATGAAGATAAAGCTACACTTGGTCAAAGGTAACAATCATGCTGTGTAGCCAACACTATCTCAGAATGTTTCTTTGGCTGCTAGAAATTTATGAGGAACACAGGTTAATTTATGGAGAACAGAGGTTTATTTAGTTCATGGCTATGGAAGCTGTGGAGTCTAAGTGCATGGCATCAGTGTGGCTTCAGCTACTTGCTTTATCAAAAGCTGTCCAGGGGCATCACATGCTGAGATGGAGCAACCAGGAGTCAGTTGTGGTCTCTCCTCTTGTGAATCCATGAGTCCAACCAAGAGGACCCCACTCTCATGGCCTCATCTAATTCTAATTAGCTCCCAAAGGCCCCCTCCAAATACCAGCAACATCGGGATTTGGGGACTAAGATTCTAAGGCAAGCTATTTAGAGGTACATTCACACCACAGCTGAGGGGCCTTGGTACTTTGTGAGTGGCCCAGAGACCTGGGTCTGTCTGTGCTTAGATAAAATTGGGAAGTGGCCTTGCCCTGTGCCATTTTCTCGGGGTCTCAGGGCAACCTTGCCTGAGTCGATATTCTCTGAGATTATTGCTATCCAATCATAGAGTGACAGCCTGGCTTAGAGTCCAGGCCAGCTTGCCCATGTCTAGGGCTGCTGTTGTTCTTTCTCAACACTCACAGACAGATGCATAAATCATCAGAAGAGAAAATGCCTATAGATCACCTTCTTATTAAAATCCAGTACCTACTGACATTCTCTACTGTACAAACTATTCTTATTATCACTACCGTTTTTAACCTTTTTGGATCTCTTGTCTGTATTCATTTGTTCAACTCTTCTCTTTTTAGTGTCATATTGATCTTGTGGCTCAAACACTCATCGTGGCCTGATTAAATATAATCAGACTGAGCCTTATCAATTACTACCATTCTACTGAAGTAGTTAGGGCTGATTCACAGCTGCCTATTTGAACACTGCTGCACACACCCTGGACAACAAACTTGCTCTCTGGAACAGCAGGTATCACAGGCCCAGGAATCTCAGTTCCTTCCAATGGAGAATATGCCCAGAGATCACTATGTGAGGAACAATTAACTTCTAGAAAACAGATCTGCCCGTAGGGAGAATTTACTCTGATCTTACAGTTTAGCAGCAGGCTATGTCCCCAGCCCTGCTTTAGTCTTACAGAGCTCAGATTCATCAACCAGTTTAGCAGGTTTCTCCTAAACTGACATTTGTCACATCAGGACTCAGGCTCCATTCTTCCTAGCATTTGTTCAAACTCCTTTTGTTATCCTTAATGTGTATCAAAAAGAATGCTTTATTGTGGTTCAAGTCATTCACTCCTAAAAAGTAGCATCTAATTTCTTAGAATGAGAAAAAAATGGAAGTAGAATGTGCATGTCATTAAGGAAAATCAATTACTACGGAGGACTCTGCTCATACCTGTCTCAAGGAAAAGCAGCTTCTTTTTACATTGGCCTTTTCTTTAGAAAATAAGTAGTGCATGCAGGTGTGTGTGTGGCTTTGCCTCAGCAACCATTCTTGGCCATGGGCCTGCTCTCCTCTTCTCTACACGGCAGCTCCTGCGCTCTACATGACTCAGTTATCCCTTCTCCATCCAGTTCTGTCTTCCAAACATTCGCTGAAGTCTTGGATCTGCCATTGGCCTCCTTCCACATCTCACTGGCACCAGGGTGAGGAGAGCTACTGTGGGTTCCTGAGTGGGACCCAGTCTTCATCACTACTAGATTTCTGACCCAGAATGAGTCCTTAAACATCTGTCTTTCATTTCACTCATCTGTAAAGAAAGACATGAATGCTGGACCCTTGAAAGTTCATTGGAAAAATACTGTGTTATTATTCCTAAAGTCTGAGAGCACATACTGAGGGGGAGTGAGACTCACCAAGGTCAGTCACTGTTTCACATCTATAGGGGCATGGACCAGCATTGTTTGAATCTATGTCGGAGTAATGGATAAACGCCTTTATGTATTCACAAATAAGAACTGCACATAATTTACATTTGTTTTCCTCAGACTCTCCCAAGGTAAGAGAATCACAAGAACTTAAGGAAACCCTCTTTATATAAAAACTTTAATTTTTTAAAAAGAAGTGCCTAACAACTGGCCAGACTGAAAGAAAGACAGTGTTATATACTGCACATATATAAATGTTGATATCTTCTGACACAGATGTTCTACCTCCAGAAATACCTTAGGGAAATAATCTCAAATGCAGGCTAGGTCTTACACTAGGGCATATTCATGCGCTGTCATCTACATAAATGAATAGAAAGAACCTAAGTTTCAGTAGTTAGGGGAGGACAGCAGAAGACACTAGGCAGCCCAAGCAGGGCCAGGGTCTGGCAGGACTCCAGTTCCTCCTGGGTTGAATGATCCACAGAAGCAAAGAGGAGCTTGCTTTAGTAATCATGAGAAGGGACACAAGAACATTTATGAAGAGAGGGACTTGGATAGAGTCAAAGTGCAAGGGTCATTGACAATCAACACATATATGAGTAAGTGTTCTGTGAACTTAGGAGAGTAGAGCAGAGTCAGCAGAAACATGAGATTTGGATGAAAAAGATTTGGGTTCAAGCCTGGTCCCAGCACTCCTGAGGGTGGGCATTTTACCTGATGTTCAGGGTGGCTCCTTCTGCTTGGAAATGTCAGGCACAAGGCACACTCACACCATGGAGTATATGATCACGCAGAGAGGGGTGTGTAAGGAACCTGTAAGGAACCACAGACACTCAACACTAGACACTGTTGTTAGTGAACACAAATGTTGCCAGACCCTTCCTGCCCACCTGCTCCTCTGTGTATGGATTTAATGGTTCCTACGTGGCTGAGTCTTCATCCCATTGTCTCCCCTCTGGACACTTACAGCGCACAAACCCTCTGCCTTGGCTGAGGTGAAGGCAGATGAAGCTGGAACAGGATGACTGCATTTCTTCAAATAGCCTTCACAGGGCCCACTGGACAAGAACACACTTGGTGAAGTCCATTTGGGTCATTCTGCACTGAGAGGGCAGCGTGGAAGACCTGGCCCCTGGCTTCTGATTGTTATTGCCCTCGCTGTCCCTGTTCTACTCCATAATTTGTTTCCTTCTTTCTTCCAGCCTGGACACCCTGTAAGCCATAGGAAAAACCTCTCAGAGACAACATTGTCATCACCATGGCCAGCGCAGGTTCCACAGGTATTTACTCTTCTTCTTTGGTTATTTCTTACACATGAAATAGAACTGAGGTGGCTCTTTTGAGGCCAAGGAAGCTTGCAGATGAGTCAGGGATGGGCAGGGGGCCCAGGAATCTCCCTGTGGAGTCTGTGGACCATCCCTTTTGGACCCTCTCCTTAAGGGCAGAGTCTAGGCCCTCCCATCCTCCCTGCCCTACCTGTTAGTCAAGGCTTCTGTTGGGGTGAAGCTGCTCCAAAGAGTAGAGGACAGGTAGGGAGAGAAGGGGGAGAAAGGTGCACAAGAGGCAGTGATATAAGAAAGGGAGGTGACAGGGAACTGGGATAGCCTCTTGCCTGTCACTTGGGCTCTGGTCCTGACTGACCCTGGGGCGCTACCAATAGAGAGACCACTTCCTCCAATTCCTTCCCTGTGGGGACTCAATAGTCCTGAGTGACTCAGAAGGAAGACGGACCCAGTATGCTACTGAGCCGGACCCCTGTGTGAACTTTGCCGACTCCTTCTCTGTGACATGGAGCTCCTCACTGCACCTGTCAAGTGAGAACAATATCTCCCATGGCTTTCTGAAGATCATCTGTACCTTTCCATGTGGGTGAGACCTGACCAGTGCCTTCACCTCCTGGGTCTTCTGTGGGTGTAGTTCTTTCCCCTCACTGGAAATCTGTTAGTTCCAGGTGAATCTTCTGCCTCCTCATCCTCAACTCACCCTGAAGCTGTGTGAGGACACCTGGGCTGCACTGCCAGTGATGGCACCTGCTTCCCGGGTGTGACTTCCTCAGGCAGGGAAGAACTCCTACTATCTCAAGGGAAAGAAAAATTGGAAACTGAAACAAAAACAAAACAACACCCCCAATCAACACTTCCTTCCTTCAGTCTATTCCTGAATTCTTCATCAGCCCTGGAGAGCAAATTGTGCTGTCAGTAGTCAGGGTGAAGAATAAAGGAGCGAGGGAGGGTTGGAAGCCAGGGGCTCCCCACAGGCCTGGCATCTTGAGGCAGAGCTGTGGTTCTTTCATTGCTTGACATAAACTTGCCTTTGTTTAGTAAATGTGCCAGCCTGGGTCCTGGGTGCCCTGAGCCACCAGGCCTCTGAGACTTATAGAGATCAAAGGGATCAGCGCAGAGAGTCCAGCTGCCCCTTCACCAGCCACCTGGAAGTTCGTCTTAGAGTCTCTGTGATTAGCAGGAGTCCTCTTCCATCACAACTTCCTTCAACAGTGTGGACTTTAAAGCCCTCATGTATATTGTAACATAAAATACAGAAATCACTTGTAGTTTTGAGGTTTAAGGAGATTTTAAAATCTGGGGTCAAGCAATTGTTGTGGAAGTTGGTCTCACTCTTCTGGGCTCACTCAGTCCTCCTTCCTCACCCAGTCAGTGCTGGGACTACACCCATGTGCCACCACCTCTAGCTAGGGATTTTTAAAACATGGGGCTTGAACCCAATCCCAACATACTGGTAGTGAGTTAGTTTGGATTCAGATCCTAAGCTCTCTGCTTCCTGGATGTGGCCAGTCATCCCTCCTCTTTCAGTTTCACTTTCTTCTTTGAAAAGATAACAATGACTCTCTTGTGTTCACATAGTAGGAAATATATTCTATATCATGTCCTAGTCCACACAGGAATTCATGTTGGCTCCCAGTCCCTTATCTGCAATTCCATACCCCCTACCTCCATAGAAACTGCAGTTTTGGGGTATTCAGGGCAGAAACTCTGCCCTCTCTGCTGGCCTGAGATTATTTACAACCTTACTCCATTTATGTCATTTAATGTGAATATCCATTTGCTTCACTCTCAAAAGAACAATGGGGCTGACTACCAGGATTGGTAAGTAATACACTGTATTTGATTTGTACAAATCTTTATAAAAGATTAAAAATTTTATTAATGGTGTATTTCAAAAGAGCTATTAAGATAATCTTTAATTTTATCAACCCAAAGAAAATGATAAAAATTTGAGGGGATGAAGTACCAGTTCCCTTGAAAAATCACCCTGTACCTCATACATTAGTTAAAAATATTTTCAAAATGTGAAAAGAGGTTAAAAATTCTGAATTTCTAAACATATCTTGGATAATAAGGACATATATAATGACATATGTATAATGACATATATATATATTTTATAACGCTGCTCTTGATCTAAACAAACTTCAGAACCCACCGATGGGTTCAATTCACATTTTGAGACAATGGCACCATGGTTAACTCGTAATACATTCTTGGGAGATGAAAACAACTTTCTCAATTGGGAGATGAACAGTTTACTTTCTGACAGTTCTATGCAGAAAACAATTTGTGTTTTTAAAAAATCCATTTCTCCAGACCATCATGGGCTCTCCCAGTGGGAAGGCAGCGCTGGCGCCCGACGCCCCTGGTTGTGGGCCCCGGCCACTGGCACCGGACCTGGTGGCCTTTGGACGATGCAGAAGGGCTGTACGTGGCGGCCGAGCGTGTCCGCTGTGCGTATCGCCCTCCGGCTGCTGACTTGCGCCAAGTGCGTCCGTCCAGAGCGGCCATTTCCTCTACTTCGACGGTGCGACCCGGAGAGGTTTATTGACAAGAAGGAAAGGTTAAACCGACTTAAGAGCAAGCGAGAAGAATTTCAAAAGGATATTTAAAGCTATGGAAGGAAAATGGATAACAGATTAATTGAGATGGAAAAATAATGTCCTGCAAGATGAGGATTGAACAACTGAAACAAACAATATGTAAAGGAAACGAAGAAATGAAGAAAAATTCAGAAGGTCTTCTCCAAACCAAGGAAAAGAACCAGAAGCTTTATAGTCGAGCACAATGGCATCGAGAGAAAAAAGAGAAGAGTCAGAGGCACAATCGAAAACTTGGTGACCTGGTAGAAAAAGAAACTCTTGACAAGAAGTCATTACGAGCATCTTGCAGACCTTCGGTGAGCCCACATTCTAGAGCTCACCTCTGTCATCTTTCCAATCGAGGAAGTAAAGACCAGGGTGAGAAACCCTGCAGATGGGTCTTCAGAGAGCGACGATGTACCTCTCGGGGCAGTGGGTCTGTGATGACCACAATGCGGACACCAGCATCGGCATCACGGGGCCCTGGATGAGCCTGCTGAACGCTGGGGACCACTCTGCCGACTACAGCTGGGTGGAAGAGGAGAAAACAATGCAGGCCGGGCCTGACATGGAGCGTAATAGCCCCGCCCACGCCATCAGTGCTGCGCTGTGCTACGCCGCTCGGCTGGTCAACGTTTTGTCTCACACGCTCGATGTCAATCTTTCTAAAAAGCTGTGCAACAGTGAATTTTGTGGCGAAAATCTCAGCAAACAGAAGTTTAGTCGAGCAGTGAAGAAACTGAACGCAAATATCCTTCACCCTTGTTTTTCTCAGCATGTAAATTTGGATCAGTCACAACCACTGCACACCGTCGGGAATCTCATGTACCTGGTCAGCTCAAGCTCAGGGCACCTGAGCAGGGCAGGATCCTTTGAAGTGTGAGCAGACCTTGAGGAGTCCATGGAATTTGTAGATCCTGGAGTCGCTGGAGAATCGATGAGAGTGGAGATGAGCACATCAGCGATGAGGAAACTGACTGGGAGAACCTGCCAAGCAAACCCTCGGTTTTGGGACATCCCTTCCCAGCCTGTGGAAATCTCCCAGAGCCAGAGCTCCCAGGTGTCCCCAGCTATCTCAAGCAACAGTGCGGGGGGATGATCTCCTCTGCTGCAGCCTCAGTGGCCTCCTGGTTCAAAGCTTACACTGGACACCATTAAAGCTTACGCATGGACTGAACACATACCAAGTCTGCAGCAAGAAAGCTCTCCCTAGTAAAATTTGTTTGATTAGTTAAGGTAGTGCTTGGAGACAAAAAAGATTGTTTATTTTCAGCAGGGAGACAAGCAGTTTGTTTTTTGTTAGTTTGTTTGTTTTTTAGTATGGGGATTGAACTCAGGACCTTGCTCTTGCAAGGCAGGCACTGGAACCACTGAGCTAAATCCCCAGCAAGACAAGCGGCTTTGCTTGCCAGGTGGCCTATGATTGTGACCCACGTGCTGATGGTAATAGAACAAAGGGTGTGGAGAGCCATCTGCCCACACCAGCACTGGTGGGAGAAGGGCCTGCGTGTGGCCAGTTCCATGAAGGAAGACATGCTCTGGACTCTTCTGGGTCCCAGGTGCCATAGACCCAGGTCAGTGTCGTCTTTGTGATGCTGACACTAAGTTCTAGAGGTTGGATGAATCACAGGAAGTGATTCTTAACGACTTGGAAAACAGTAACTGTTTTTCTGCCATCTTTTTTTTTTTTTTTTTTGTAGAAAAGCAGCCGGCAATTTGAAAATTTTCATTTATTTTGTCTTTAGAATATTATGCTTGGGAGGGGGTAGTTTTTGTTGTGCCAAGCGAGCCGATAAATCACCAAACACTGGGACCAATGACAAAGTTAAACTGAAAGGAGCTTATTCACACGCATGGACTCCACTCCCTAAGCGAAGTGAAGTCCTGAACCCTAGAACAGCACAGTTTACATAGGATATTATAGCAGCTTTGCTTTTATAGATGTTATTTTAAGAAGACAAGTTCAAGGGGAGGTTAGCATGTTTTTGACTAGTTGCAAAAATATTTTTCACAGCTCAGCCGATTAGGGCACTTTACAGTGGAGGGAGGGCACCAGGCACTATCTCCTTCCAAGAAGCGATGAAGCAAGTTTACAGAAGCAGAACAAACAGTTACGAATACATCTATTTTATAAGGGAGGTGTATGAGGAGAGTTCATCTACAGGCCAAGATGGCGTTTTGTAAGATGGCATTTTGTGGGTACATCCTGGTCTCTGAGGGCAAGGAATAGTTTCAAACTCATTTTATTTGTGCTGCTCTGTTGTAACTCATCATGTTTCTGTGTTCCTCTCCAACTCCCCCCCCCCCACACACACAGAAGCTACGGTCTGTTTATCTGTAGGACACACACCCATGAGCGGAAGTCCTGGCTGCAATAATGTCCCAGAGATGTTGGCTGAACACCAACAGACTGGCTTACACTGCTGAAATATTTTTGGTTTCATTATTTTGCACTGTATCTATTCTGTGAATACTTTCAAGTAATGCATTTCAACCACTGTTTTTTCTACATTTTTTGCTGCTCATTAAAATCTTTCATGTAGGTGTGAGAACAATATGTAAACAGTAAGCTTTTTTTTAAAATTAAAAGCCATAGAACTTGTCATGTTTTCCATTTTAAAATGATTTATTGAAACAAGATAATATGAATAAAAACCCACAGCCACCAAATAGGCTGCTTTAGTCTTATGAAAGACATTTTTGTAATGGAATACAACTAACAAAAGTTTTGCACATCTGTAAATTAAGGGTGAAAAACAATATGTCACATCGGGTACAGGGGCAGGATTCACACAAGGTCTCAGGTATGATTTGGAAAGTGTATTCATTGTTGTGCTGGTAAAGAGAACTGCAGTATTCCTCGTGTTGCAGGAATTTGTCTTTGCTTTGCGACTTCCAATCCAGTTTTGAGTCACACAAATGTTTTCTAACTTTTATTGTATTATTGCAATGAATCTTTGAACAGTGAAAAAAAATTCATGTCTCAGGAAATCACCATACTATTTCCAGGCCTGGTAAAACACAGCTGTGATCTATCAGACTTAGTCAGGAGGCTGAGGCAGGAGCTGCTCAAGTTCAAGACTAGCCTGGACAATGTAGCAAGACACTACCTCAAAATAAAGTAACAAAAGACTAAGGATGTGGCTCAGTGATAGAACAATACCTTGGCATGTATGGGGCTCTGTCTTCCATTCCCAATACCACAAGAACAAAAACAAAGAAGCCACAGCACCTCCTTGGTGAATAGCTCTCTGAGGCTGCCAGCACAAGTTCGTGGCTTAAGCAGAGCCCTCACTTAGCATGCATTATGCTACATGTTCGTTGGCTGTGTCTCCAAACACAGTAATTGGAGGTTAGAGCTCTACCATGTGAATGTAGGGAACACAGTTCCATTTATAACACTATGAAAAGTATCCATGTGACTCCAACTCAGAAAGATGGACCTCTAACCAGCATGCACTCCATGCCATTCACACGGCACCACACTGTCTTCTAACCTTGTTCTTTTTTCTCCTCTATCTAGAAAATGAAAGCTTCATCCAGGATGTCCTTGAGTGTTTCTGGTACACAGTGAGCAGAGAGGATCTGCAGCATCTGGTGACTGAAGATGAAGCCTGGGAGATGGTCCGGGCAGAGGCAGGATTGGGCAGGTCAGCTCCATGGGGCTCCACAACAGTGCCACCCAGGTCCCTGCAGGGCTGGTGTTCTTAGTGTAGAAAACCCTCCTGGGGGCAGTGTGCTGTGGTTAGGGCTGAGGGCGTTTTGCTCAACACTCCCTGCAGGATGGTTCCTCCCTGTCATTCCCTGGCAGTGAATGGGCTCAGGTTGAGGGGAGGTGCTGCCCACAGAGGACAGGATGCCATTGGCCATCTGTTAGTTAGGGGCCCTGTGCAAGGTCCTTCACTACTTTCTGCCTTTACTTTTTCATCCATTGAGTTTTATTGTGAAAAAATAAGACAATACATAGAATGTGCTCAGTATATGACTGACTCACATTTGTTGCTCAGAGGAAGTTATTTAAAAATCAGAAGGGAAGAGACTAGGACCAGGAGTCTCCTCTCCCTTGGAGATGAGACAAGTCAGAGCAATCTAGACCTGATCAGCACATCTAGACTTGCTTTCCTAAGGATGCTTCCTTGGGCCAGGTTTCTCCCCACCCGAGGAACTGCAGAAACACAGCAGGATCCGCCTGCAGCCCAGAAAGCACTAAGGATGGAGTGAAGATGAACAGAGCTGGTGTGAGGCTGGCTGTCCTGCCAGTTCCGGGAATCCACACTTGTCCCTTGCACAGTCAGGCTGTGCTGTGTTCAATGGGAACAGCGTGGTTGGGATCCCAAGCCAGGCAGAGTAAGGTAAGGAAGGACTAAAGCCCAAAGCACAGTGAGGCTGCGGACCCAGCAGAGGACACGTGAGCATGGAGGGAGCCTTTCCTCCCTCTCCACCGGGATCCATCCCCGAGGTGCATAGAGAGTGGTGAGTGGGTTTCAGCTGCCACTGGGGATGCTTCTCTATCGAGAGGACCCCTCACCAAGAGGTGGGAGGGAGGCCTTAGTGATGACCTCTGAAGTGAGGACAGTTGGCTGCCAGTTGTGTGTCGTTGAGAGAGTCTGAGGACACTCCAAGTTTCTGTTACAGAGGAAGATATGTCCTATCCTAACTTGCAAATTCAGGACTTGGCAGGCTTAGGGACTTCTGATAGCTGGGTCTCAGTGCCTTGTGAGCCTTTGCACATGGCCTTGGTTGCACACAGGTGAAGTTGTCTCCGACTAAGGTGTCTTTAGAGGGCTGACATACAATAAGGCCCTGAAAGTTTGGGTGCCAAGTGTGGGTCAGGAGGCAGCAAGGTATGGGAAGTCAGGGTGCAGCAGGTCTATCACCCAGGTCTTCTGCTTCCCCTCAATTGAGGCAGCAGCCTGACCCACTGACCTTCCACTTGGAAGGGAAAAGAGCGTCAGGCATTGGAAGAAAGTAGGCAACAGGGAAAACAATCTTTTAGGTTCCCTCTGACGCTGAGGATTTATTATTCACATTCTAAGCTCCTGGCATTATCCAAACTCCAATGTCTCAGGCACAGACCAAAGACCATCTTGTTTTTGTTTTTTTTTTGGTACCGAGGATGGAACTCAGGTCCTTCCGCTTGTGAGGCAGGCGCCAGAACCACTGAGCTAAATCCCCAGCCCCATCCTTTTTTTTTTTAATTTGGCATTTGTGGGGATTGCACCCATGGCCTTCACTCTGAAATGCCTTTCTACCCTTTATTATTTGAAGAGAAAGTCTTCCTAAGTAGCTAAGTTATCCAGGCTGGGCTTGAACTTCTGATCTCTCTGCCTCCAAGTTGCAGAGTATGCAATTACAAGAATGCACCCCAACACCCAGATTTTACCTTTATTTTTGACACTATCTTCACCTCCCAGTCAAAGTCCAGGAATTTCTGAAACCTAACTCAGGTTTTCAAATTTACCAGGAGAACTTACAGAGCTCAATGAAGATGCTTATTACACAGCTATAGGCTATTACAGGGAAAGGACACGGCTTCAAATCCAACAAAGGAAGAGCTGCATAGGACTGAGCTTAGAGGGCTTGGACAATGAAGCGTCCATTCTTCTCAGGACACAGTGCACTATATTAGTTATGTGTGACAGTTCACATCAGGAATTGCCAAGCAGAAAGCTCACCCTGGGAAAGATTCCTTATTCTACTACAAGTCACAGTAGTGAGGAAGACATCATTCAGTACCGTACCACTGGGAAGAGGGTTGGGGAACAACTGTGGACAGTAAAGACAGCTGGGATTAAGAGCCAAGAAGCAGGCTAACTGTTAACAGGAACATCAGGACTACCCTTAGTTTTGTGATGGTGACTTAATGGGACTCTTCCTGAAGCAGGTCAGGGACAAATACATCAGAAGTCAGGGATGGGCACCTGGTCCGGTATCACAGTGGTAGGTTCTCACTGTCCTGACTTGGAAGGATTTGTTCTAAGCCTGGGCAATGCAAGTCCTGGAGACCCAAGATGGCCCTGGAAGGCCAATGTCAATGGCCAGGTGAGAGGATGTTCAGAAGAGCTTACGTACATTGTCGACAAGGAAGGAGTTCTTTTCAACTCCATCATCAGTGTCTGGGGTACTTTGGAGGCTGAATCACAGTCTGCCCTCATGGCTGACCTGGGGTCTCCCTCCCACACCAGAGCTCAGTGATTTTAGTGTCCACTTCCTGTGAATTTGAGAAATGTTCCCAAGTAGTCATCATTCATCACACTGGTAATAGCGAGCGTCCTTTGTGGGAAACACTTGGGACCACAGACGTATTAAGTTCTGGATTTTTTCCTGATATTTAAGTATTTGTACTTTAATAATGTAATATCACAGGGATGAGACCTAAGTCTAAATAATAAATTCATATATGTTTTTCTATATTTTATACACATACAGAGAAGGTAATACTTTTCAGTATTTTTAGCATGCCTGTATTTTCGCTGTGACCCATTCCACAAGCACATGTTGGAACTTTTACTTTTGACATCATATCAGAGATCAAAGGGTTAGGATCTTTGGATTAGGGATGCTGAACTTGTGTGGTACTGTGCCCAAAGTCCCCAGGCAAACAGAGATATTGCTAGAAGGGAGGACTTTCAGGGGCTTACAGATCACATCCTGGTAGCAGATTGCCTCCCAGCAGCTGGGGGAAAGGGAAGGCTTCTTTTCGGATAGGATTCATTCTTCACTGCACTGATATGCTCTGAACTAAGTTCCTGCCCAGGCCCACTTCTCTTTATTCCCTAAAGAATTTCCACTCCGCAAATACTAGGTAGTCACAGCATGGACTTGAGTGAGCAAATACCTTCCAGTGGAGATCATCTTGAAATGACTTTTACTCATTGCCCCATTATTGAGTAAGGACCAGAGAGCATTCAAAAGGTCCAAAATATGGTCACCATTGAAGAAAAAAGTCTCATACACCTGTACAACTCTTTCCATTGGATTTATAATTAAAATATCTGTGGTTGGCACTGGATCCAGCTTTAGCAACCATTTTTAGATAAATGAAATATCTGTCTTAATCCATTGAACTTTACCATTACAGGGCTGAGGCTGACGAGTTACATGAGGCTCTGAAGGGGCTTGCAGCTGACATGCCAGAGGTGGACAAAAAGAAGCAGCAAGAAGACCAGCAGGCTAGGAAGAGGTTTATGGAGTTGTTTCCTCAGCTTGAAACAAAGTTTAAACACGATGTAAGAAAGCTCTGAAACCTTGCAGACCAGGCTGACAAGCTACGCAAGGACTGTACCATCACCAATGTGGTGGCCAGCTCCACCAGCACTGCCTCTGGTGTCATGTCCCTCCTTGGCCTGGCTCTGGCATCCTTCACAGCAGATGCCAGTCTGGTGCTCACTGGAGCAGGGGCCGCAATTGGAGTAGCAAGTGGTGTGACAACTGTTTCCTCTACTGCGGTAGAGCAAAGCAACACATCATCACTTCAGGAAGAAGCACAAAGTTTGATTTCAGCTATCATGCAAAACCTGAAAATGTTTGTAGAAGATGTGGGTCATTTCATACCCAAAGTTTTTTCCTCAAGTGAAAACTGGGAGCAATTTCTGAAAGATACTGGGATGTCCATACATATTATCAATACACCCACGGGTGACCATGAGTTAATAGACATGATCACAGTGTTCTGAAGGCTACAGAATTTAAGTATTCCAGGCAGTAAGAAGCTGATAAGTAGTGGAATTTCTTTACTTGGGCTGAGGTTGATGAAGAGAGTCTTTGCAGGCCTTAGTAGGGCAATGACAAGAGGAGTCAAGATATTGGGTACAGCTGCTGGAGCTATCAGCGTCGGGTTCGAGATTTACAGCCTTGTTCAAGACTCAGCACACTTGCAGGAAGGGGCCAAGTCAGAACTGGGTGAAGAACTGTGGAAGGAGACTAAGGAACTGGAGAGCATATTGAAGTACCTCAACCAGACCTATCAGGATTTGCAGCTAGGGTCAGATCCTTAGCTGCCTCTCCAGAGTAGCACCAACAACAGGGAAGATGAGCTAGAAGAAAGCAGAAAGCAAGTGTGTTAAAGGGAAGGCAGGAAGCAGAGTCTGAAATAAGGGACAAGACAGAATGAGTGAATGAGGGGAATGGGAGGCAACAGTTTACTTTGGACTCGTGAATACACTGGGGCTCTGAATGGAAACAATGAAGGAAACGGGACTGGGAAAGGTCAGAAAAAATAAGGAGTTGAAAATGGGAGGAAGCCAGAATTTGAACTATTGAAAGATAAGAGAAAGAAGAGAGGCTACAGTAGAGAGCTCCACTGTCCATAGTGTGAGGTCCCAGCAGCAATAAAGCCCATCCATGCTGTTCTCTAGCCCTGTCGCTCATTGTCACAGTGAGAGAGTGAGCTCAGGGTGATGACAGAGATGGTGGTGGTGGTGGCAGTGGTTGGGGTGGTGGTGGTATAGCGGTAATGGTGGTAATGACATCAGAGAGGGGGAAGCCCTTGGCAAGTTATCCTACCTCCAAGGGGCCAGGATGCACTGAGGGATCGATGAAATTCCAGTGAAACTCCGAATGTTGTGTGGGAAGCGGTGATTGATCTGGGGGAAAGAAGTGAAACTACATTCAAGGAACAGGTTAAGGGACCTGGTGATTGTACAGATCAACCAGCTTGTGGTCAAGAGTCACAGCTCTGCTCAGGCTATTTGTTCATCTGTTGTCTGATCATGCTGATATCTCAGATCTATCTGGTTCTTCCTGTCTTTTGTTCTACAAAATACAGTTCAACAAGTATTAACCAAATACGAACTGATTGTTGTGAGAAATTTGGGTGTAAAAAATGCCAACTATCATAGCCTGAAATTGTCATGACACCAAAAAAAAAAAAAAACCAAAACAAAAACAAGGCCAAAAGATCCAGGATTACACAGAGAGTAATTTTTATTAGGGAGCTATGGATCAAAGTCTGGTAAAGGGCATCCAGAAGACAAATTAGTCCTGCAACTTGGGTCAGAGGGAGGGGCTTAGATAGAGGTCAGAACACTGACCTCATCCAAGCTGGGATGTACCTGGTTTATCTCAAGATGACATCTAACAGGTCAGGTACTTTCCTGGGACTGATAGTGGCAGGTACTGGTAGACTCTCATACCATGCCAATGGTTATGATTCTGTACAGTATGCTGGGAAACTGTGGAGATAAAAGGAGGCCATGGTAACTCAGGTACAATCATGTCAGTTACTTCTCAAGATGGCTGTGGTTAGGTCAAGTTGGTTCCCAACATGACACCCTGAGCCTTTGTTGTGCTGACTGACTGGTTTATCTGACACTAGATGCCTGACTTCCCTTCCTCATGAACTTTCTCCCAGGATGTCAGGGAGCAAGTTACCCTCTGCCTTCCTGCCTACCCACTGGGCTCTCTCCTTTCCAGCCAGTCATTTCCTTCAGAATGTGGTAGTCACCACATTCTGAAGGAATGCAGCCTCACTGGACCCCGAGGTGAAACACATTGTGTCTGACTGGGGCTGAGCACAGGTGTGTTCCCCAACCAGCAGCTGGGATCTAGAGCTAAGAAGCAGCATGTGAGCTGGATTAAGATAAAAAGGGCCTGCATGCAGTTCGATAGAGACTGAGTATGACAGGGACCGTGAACTAAGCATCTGTGCCTTGCCATGGCCTTCTGCCTGCTGTTCCTCCCTTGGAGCCTGCTGACCATGTACTGAATCTCTTGAAACTATGGGATAAATGAAATTCTTCCTCTTTTATGCTGTATGTTTTGGGTATTGTATCCAAAGAATGGGAAAGTTAATACTAAAAATTGTTAACAAGAATGGAGTCATCAATGTGACAGTACCTGACTATGTGGTTCAGAAGCCCTTGGAAGTGATTTTTTGGAGGGGGAAGAAGATTGAAAAGATTTGGTGAAATAGGCTATGGAAGCCTTAGAATTCTGTAACAAGAATATGATTGGTGGTTCTGGTAAGAATGGAATGCTAAAAAGAAAAAAAATGGAAAGCTGCCAAGCATCTAGACAGTAAAGGCCAGTTTCATGAGGTTTAATATGGGAACAAGGACTAGAAACCATGTGTGATGCAATCTGGAAAAATGTTTGTATACATTTTACTTATGTCTGAGACTTTGGGGAGAATGGAATTAAGGACAATGGAACAATGAATCTGCAGAGGAAATTTCAAGACAGCTCAATATTCAGGTGTGCATACTGCTATTGCTTTTATCAGATTTAGAATGAGAATTGTGGGGAATTGGTGTAACAGAAGAAACCATGTTGAAAGCTGAGGGTGAAGGAGGTGTGGTTGCTAAAGAAATTAGTGGGATTAAAGAGAAATTAAGTACTTTGTACAGGGAGAAAGATGCCTTGAGGGGACCTCAGAAATCAGCAAGACCCCACCCATTACAATCTCAAAGGTGTCAAACTGTAAACCACTCACCTGAGAAGAGAGCCACTGTGACCCTCTTCTAGAAAGTCTACTGACAGAATTGGGTCTCCAGTACTCATTTCACTGCAGTCATCCATTGAGCCCTCAAAGGCTGCTGATCTCGTGTTTCATGAGGGCCTGACTACTGCCCATGGTAGTGGCAGAGCTTGTCCTCATCCACATGTCACTGGTTTTACTGTCCTGCAGAATGTAATAATTATGTTGTCAGGGAGGCTTCTACCAAGATTTCAAGGGAAGGATTGGAAGCCCAAGCAAGTGCCCATGAGAGCCTGACAGACAAATGTGTGAAGCTCTGGGAATAAAGTGAAATGAACAATGGAAACTTCAGAAATGTGTAGATGTCAAGAATGTGGACTATCTGCCAAAGAAAGCAGGAGGCCATATGTGGTGCCAGCCCAAGGGAGAGGCCCAATGGGCTACAACTGACAGGTCAAGAGAGGCCATCCAAGGCCCTGAGAATTCACATTTTACCACTATGTGCCATTGATGTGGAAGTTTAGGACTTTGTGATCACCTTTGCCTTGCTTTACTGTGATTCTTTTCTATTCCTTATTCTTCTCTTCTGGAATTAAGATACTTAACCTGCGCCTCTGTACCTTGGGTTTGTGTAACTTGATTTTGAGATTTTCAGAGGTTGACAGCTAAAAGTTTGCCTTGAGTCTCAGAGGAGACAAGGACTTTGGCTTCTGAAAAATGCTGGAACTGTTGAGACATTGGAGAAGGGACTACTGTGATTTTGGTGGTACAGAAGATAGTTGTAACATGTCAGAATTATGACCTTGTGTTTATTTTGGGATTAAGTGTGGTTTAGAGAGATAGACCAGGGTGGGAAGTTGCCAAGGGATGGAAATTATTGTTTAATCTTGACTGTGGCCACTTGACTTACTTGAGTGTCATCTGACACATTGGTGGAGTACACTTCTGGATGTATCTGAGTGGGTCATGGATACAGTATGTGAGAACTACTCTGATATTGCAGCCCTTCGTCTCTGGTGCTTCTCCTATGCTCTGTTTCCCAGACATCATGAACTAAGAAGTTTTGGCACTTCTGCCATTCTGTTCTTGCCTTGGGGCCTGCTGACCATGTACTGCATCTTCTGAACTTGTGAGCCAAATTGAATCTCTTCTCTTTGAAGTTGTGGATGTTATTGTGCCCTCAAAATAGGAAAGCTGACTAATAATATTTCTCTACTGACATTTGTGCCTATGTTGGGATGAATATCTGTTACATTTTATGTAAGGGTCTTCATAGTGTACAGACTCCCCAGTACCACTTAGAGAAACAGAAACAAATTGCAGTGTCTCTGATACAACAAAAACATAGCAGAAGAGAAAATACAGTAAAAGAGTACTAAGGTCAACAAGTATGCTACCAATAACAATAGAAAATAATGTTGAGGAAGGGGATCTGGGAGGAGTTGGAGAAAGGAAAGAAGGGAAAGGAAAAAATATGAGAAAAGGAAAAAATGGAAACAAAGTCTTTGTAAATAGGGAGGGGTGGAGGGGTTGAAGGGAAGGCAGGGGAATGGGGAAAAAATAAGAACCAAGATATATCAGGTAAAGGTACAAATTCCCAATGATGAATGTCATCATATTGTATACCTAAAATGTACCAATAAACTTAATGAATTTTTAAAAAAGAAAATAAAGTTGAAAAACTGTGAACTAAAAGTTTACATATTAATACTGGAAAATGTAACAAT